TGCAGCTCATGCTTATATTCCAGCTGTGAGTTATGAAAACATACCGCCTATTTTTTCTTTATCAAACACTTCTGGTGCACATTTTTAAACTACTGACTGTGTTACACCACCATCACAATAAAAGGGGACAAAACGCACGAGCATCTTGTATAGGAAATGGACGGAAACAGGAACTTCCGTGTTTACAGCCCCCGCAGTAAATATATTTAACCACTAGAGGGCAACGTTGCTTCGATTAACGGTTATTTCCGTGCGCTTACTGTCTCAACTCTCTTGTATTTTGGTTTTCAATTGGTCCTCGTCGAACATTTTGCAAGAATCCGAGATTAAATAACGTGTTAAAGTTTATTTATTTCGAGGAACACTGATCCATCCTCAGTGAGGATCAGTTCCAGACAGAAAATAGTAGTGTACGCTATGGTCACCTACAGGTCTACAGTTATGGACCACATGTACCCTTTGGGTGTCAGTGTATGTCACTGAGTGATAAATCTTTCATTATTGTTAGCATTTTTCTGGTTGAACATGACAAGTAAAGTAAATGAGTCATGAATACTAAAATTAATTGAGCTCAAGCTCATGGAGTGGCTGTAACTAAGGAGGTAGAGCAGGTCATCTACTGATCAGACAGTTTGTTCCCTGGCTGCTCCAGGCTGTATGTTAAATATCCTTTGGCAAGATACTAACCCCAAGTTGCTCTCTGATGCATTCATCTGAGTATAAATGTGTGTGACTGATAGATTTGCAAGTGTTGTGGAAAATTTAACAATAACCTGCAATGGGGAAACCTTTTGAATACAAGCGCGCTGATTCACACAGGTGTGCACACAGATGTTCACTGTCCATAGACATAAACTACACCTTTCTTGGCTGCTACCTCAAAGCACATTGTGCGCTGTCGGTCCTGGGTGCTGCACCACAACATTCAATATTTAGCATTTACTGCTGTTTACACTTAGCTAGATTAATGCGATGGTGTTGTGTTTATTATGTTGCTCTGTTTATTTGCTTGTTTTCTCTTCTTTTCCTCTCAACAGGTGATCCAGGAGGTTTTTTTTTCTTTTTTCTTTTTTCTCTCTCTTTCTCTTTTTAAGCACCCTTTCTCACTGTCCCTCTTCCCTTCTGTTTTTCTTTTCCTTCATCTTTCTTTCTCCCTTTCCTATCCCCGAGTCATGTCTGTCCCATCTGTAACAACTGAAAATAAAATAAAATAAATAATAACAACAAAGGTCGATCAAATGGACCAATACGGCAAGGCCGCGATGATCCACTTGGTAAAGTAAATTCATTGGGTATTCTTGTTGGTCTTCAGACAACAATTCTGACAGCTAAAGAACCAAATGGGACAGGCAAAAAATCCCCCCCCCAAAAAACAATAACCTGCAACACACCCAGTGAGCTTGATTTGAAGTGGGTTTAATAAACACATTGCAATGTGGAGAGAGCATCCCTATCTCTGAATTGTGGCCACTGCCTTTACATCTTATATACAGAGACAGAACAGAACATTCCACATTCTATACCTTCTCCCTCACAGAGAGAATTATGACCTTGTTTTCTGCTTAGCCGTCACCTAAGGATTTACATCCCTGATAAGCAGAAGTAGTCTCACTATCTATATAATGTCTCCCATTACAATGGCCTCACTGTGTTAACATTCCACATGCATGCAAACTAGTGACAGGAGTGCTCTTATAAAGTGAGAAAATGATATTACTATAACTAATGTGATATGATTAAATATGTGATTAATACATGAGAAAAGAAATCTACCTCCACATATGCCACTAAACTCTGACTTATGCACATAACAGACAGCTTAATAAAGAACCCACTGCATCTTTAGGCACTTTGTTACTAGCTTCTTATTACAAAGTTGCACATTTTGGCATTTCATTTGGCATTTCAGCCAGTGATATTTGGGATATTGAAAAATAAAGGTGGTTGTACAAAAAGACTTTCAAGCTTGTCAGCATAAACTCTGTTTTTGCCTTATAAACTGTTTTTCCAGTTATGTTTACCTGTTTCAATAGATCACTGCACTTATTCACATCTTCCCTGCAAAATATAAAGAAATGAGGAATTGTTCAAGACTTTTACAAAGTAGTGTCGAAAACAGCCTGCATGCAAAGCATGTTTAGTTAATGTGTTGTACGACAACATTAAGGGCTGAAGGATTTCTGCATATCTTTGACACACATTTATTTCTTTCCTTACCTCTGAATTCAAACAGTACATTTTAAAATGAAACAAAGCATGCAAAAGGTTCAAGTTTATTCTAGTTCCATGTGACCAATTTTCTTAATCGGTCCACATTACTGTGTACTTTTTTTTGTTCTCCACATAAAATTCGATTCTTTCAGGTTCCTTTTTTGGCGTGCTATCATGATGCAGTTAAGTAACAGGAAGTCATGCATGAAAGTCATTAGTCCCAACAAAGATTGTGTTTATTTAGTACTGATACCAAATAACTCACCGTAGTCTCACAAGATCCATCCATTCATTATTTATAGACACAGGCAACAGTCTCTCATCTCTTGTGTATTAGGAATATTTGGACATTCCCATTTTGGTACAACTTCGGCATTAAACCCTACGTGGATTTAATGATTTCAGTGGATTTTCCTTTATTGGTGATATTTTTTGTTTGTTTTTGTTTGTCTTGTAATCTTTATATTGTTAATATAGTTTTTAAATTACATTTTAACAACATTCTAACTCTTATATATTTTTTAATTTAAGAATTCTTTAAATATAAATATACATACATAAATTGACTTGAAATTAAGTTAAGAAATTGAGAATTGGGTTGAGAATGACATGTTTAAAAAGAAAAGAAGAAAAGGATTTAGGTGTGCAAACATTGAAAATAAATGATTTTCAGTCCCCTCACACATTTACACATGAAGGGATAAAGTCCATCGCATCTGCAAACATTAATGAGTAAACTTTACAATGACCATGTCTTATGGGAGGAGACTGCAGGGGCTGCACTGTCATTACATTCAGGAATTAACAATGCTGTCTTACATAAGACGGGATTCATAAAAAGCTTACAGGTCAAAAAAAAGATCTTTGGGGAAGACTCACTGTCAGGGTTCAGGTCCAAAGAGACTTTTTCACAGGAGGATCTCATCTCAGGGAAGAGTATGATAAAACAGGTGATAATTGGGGTTGTGTGTGGTGCTGCCGTACTGACCGTAGGCATCCTAATTGGTCACTTTGGTATTGCCAAGAGCGGCACCTCTGCACCATCGTGGCTGAAAGATGTGGCCAAGGATGTGGATGAGAGCCTCATTGAGAAGTTCATGTTGGAGGTGGACAACATTCAGATTCAGGAAAATCTCAGGTCAGTTTCCTTATTTTTTAAACAATGTTATAAAATCTCACCAGCACCTCATTTAAAATCCAAAGAGTATAATTTAATACCATTACCATTCATTCAAGTATTTCAAAGGCTAAATTGCCATTGAAGTTTTATCTTTCATCTTCCTTCACAGGAGCCTGACAAAAGTGCCCCATATGGCTACCACAGCTGGAGATGAGGAGACTGTACAGATAATGCTTAAGAGATGGCAAGACCCTGAAACTGGACTAGACAAGGCCTGGAGAGAGGAGTACTGGGTCTACCTGTCCTTCCCTGACAAAAATAACCCTAATACAGTCACTGTAGGTGAGTGAAATGCTTGTGAAAAGCATGATGACAGAGGGAATGGTTACATTATCTTGGTCAAAGTAAACATTACAGTATAAGAAGGAATGGTTTAGTTAGCTTGTGCGGTATGATTAACTACAGTGAAAGCTGCTCCATCAGCATTCATAGGATTATTCCATGGAAGACAAAATCCTTTAAGTACTTTTACATTGTTACGTTTTGGTTATATTGTATATTTTTTTCCATACATACGTATTTTGTCTTTTAAGAAAGTTCCATTCCATACTCAATCCAACATACCAAGAAAACTGGTATTAAGCGAAAACTATCCACTCTCTGTATTTAACACTCTTTCTAACACTGAGAAGCTCCTCAATCTGCAAGCGCCCTGATGTCTCACAAGCAGACCTTTCACCATGACTTGTTAATTTCAGTGAGCCCAACCGATACGGTGCTGCACACAATAAGAGAAAAAGAAAAGCCTTACACTCCGGACCAAAGCGATCCTGAGGTGGTTCAGCCGTACGCAGCATACTCCCCTGCAGGACATGTAAAGGTAAAAAGCTACAGCCTTACGCATCAAGCACTAAATTTAACTTATAAATGCAAATCACTCAAAATAAAACTGAAGACACATCAATTATATTACATTTAAAATATCTGCTTTATTCTCATTAACCAAACAGAGTTGACCAACAGCTTTCATCCTGTTTCTGAAATGGGACAATCTGGCAAAACACTCCTCAAAGAAACCTCCAGTGTTTTATTGTGTGTTTGTGCACAAACACTGAAATATTCTGTGTCTATGGAACTCCTACACCATTTCTGACCATTAAATTACTGAAAGAATGATAAAATAATAAAATCACATGATAGTCATAATTAGCTTACTTGTTGTAACCTTTGAGGCTGCACGTTGTATGCTTACTGAAATACAGTCAGTATACTTTTAACTGTTGCAGCTACATGACTGTATATTCAAGAAAGATGTTTAAAAACCTCTGCTCTGAACAAGGATTAAGTTGCCGTGCAACAAAAGCTAACAGTGTTGGGTTTAGTTCACATAGAGTGTTTATGTGAAAACCTTAAAAACAAACAGGGAATGAGTATGTGACACAAATATTTCCAGGTGTAAAAGAGATGGGATTTACTTCTGACAAATATTATGAGAAAATTTAACATTGAATGGAAAAATAAATAAATGAATGAATATGCTATAATCACAGTCACAGATTATTTTAGTGCCACACTTTTCAGTAAATTAGGCAATAGCGCTTGTTTATTGGTGCCATAAACTTCTCAACATCAACTTCAAGGCTAAAATGTCTTTCATAGACTTGCCAAGTACTGATAATTTCACGAGTTATGATGTAGACTGCGTTAGCAAAACGTCAAGAGCCAGTCTGTAAAGATTTGTATCACTGTCAAGCTTTCTCATGGCAGTAAAAAAAATGATACCCTGATTAGGAAAATAGACTGTTCTGGCCCGACTCACTTTATGAATGCAGAACACACAATAATAATAATAAAAAAAAACTTTCCTCAGAGACAATACAAAATACATGCAGGCAAACGAACTCCAACTGAAGGTGGCAGCAAAATGCAAAGCAAAAGTAAAGTCAGGGGAAACTGAAGCAAAGTTAAGATAATAGTAAAACACTTGAATGCCAAGAGCTACATAAAGGTTCAAACAGGGACATACAGTGATTCTGTGAAGTACACAAACTGATTACTAACAACCAGATTGATACCAGATTGATATTGATGATAACAGTGTTCTGGACTATGAGCCAATGAGGGAAAGGCAGAGAATGACTAAGGGGTAAAAAAGACAAAGACAGGAAGCAAACTAGCAAAGATACAAAATGTAAGTGGCAAATAAAAGAGGAGCATTAAGAGACCATTACATAAACATTAAATGTTTTAAAATTTGGTTACAGAAAGATTTAAATCACCTTTTCTTCATATCAGTTCACTTTTTTGAGTTTCTGTTGCTCACAGAGCGTTTCTATTTCTCATGGTTTTAGGGGAAATTGGTTTATGCCAATCAGGGGAAGCCAAGTGACTACAGCGAACTGAACAAGACAGTGGACCTCAGAGGAACTATTGCTATCACCAAATATGGTGGCGCAGGAAGATCGGCTAAAGTGAGTTTCAGAATGCATCATTAAATCACCGATTTGTACATTTTAAGCCCAATTTTGTTTGGTTATAAGCAAAAACCATCAACTAAGCAACAGGGTTAATTCTTATTGCCACTAGTTACATGTTAGTTCAAACTCTTACTTTAACAAGTGGCATAATTGTTTTATCTAATCTACATAAACACTATTCTGTAGTCACAAACTTTTATATTAAGATACGCTGACATCACGTGAGCTAAAAAAAAAAAAGAAGATTACCGCCACACACTTCTAGTAAATTCTAACTTTATTAATATCGCACTTTTGCAGCTCAAATAGAGTGGACAGGTTTGATGACAACTGAAATGTAAATTATAAAAGAATAAAAGTGTAAACCAACAAATTACTGTTTACAAAATGCATTATGTGTCTCATCCAGGCCATCAATGCAGCACCATATGGCGTCGTTGGAGTGCTTGTCTATACAGATCCTTTGGACATGAACGATGGTCTCATGTCAGACGCCAATGAGACGTATCCTCACTCCTGGTACATGCCACCCAGTGGCGTGGAAAGAGGTTCCTACAACATTGACTTTGGAGACTTGCTGACACCTCACTTGGCTGCCAAAGGTTAACCATTGCACTTCTCCACACGCCAAAAAGATACACGCTATATAGCTTCAAACACATACACTATGGAAATTCAAATCACGTTTAATTACTTTTTTATTATTTCACTTTTGTATCAATTCTTAAATGTAATCATTTATTTTACAGAGGAAACATACAGAATCAATGCCACAGACATTACAGGCATTCCTCCTATTCCAACTCAACCAATCGGATTTGAGGACGCCTATCGATTGATCTGGTTTGTGACAAGATAGATCTGCATGTGTAACTGATACAGCCTAACAAAGGTGATGATTACTTTAATAATATATTTTTTCCATTGGTCATTTCAGTGAGTTGGGAGGAGAACCAGCTCCAGATGCATGGCAAGGAGGATTCAACTGTACCTACAATTTTGGTGGTCCAGGGTTCAAACCTACATCCAGTTTCACCAACAGGTAACCAACAGTATAAGTAAAAAGTTTTAAAAAGTAAAAAACCTTACAGACCTTTTCAACTTAACTATTTTTGAATAATTCAATTAGATAATTTAGAATCAGTGTAGTAAACATTTAATTGCCAGCCAACTTGATCATTTTTATTCACTATACAATTTCATGTCAGATGATTTACACTTGAATAACCAATTCCATTTATACAAATACATGTTTTTGGAGCAGCAGTTAAAGCCTCTTTATCCCTTTTCTGTGTTGCCTTTCATGTCAGTGATGTAAAACTGGACATCTACAACTATGAAGAGGTGAAACCCTCCTCTAATGTAATGGGTTTTATCAGAGGAAGTGTGGAGCCAGGTGAGACTAAGGTTGGATCGGCAATTTAAGATCAGCTGTTTTGATGTTGTGATTATTTTGTGTAAGTGCTGTGTTTATATCCACAGACAGGTATGTGATATACGGCAACCACAGGGACAGTTGGGTTCATGGCGCGATAGATCCAAGCAGCGGCACATCAGTCATGCTGGAAATTACCAGGGTGCTGGGCAAGATGGTCAAACAGGGTGAGGAGGAGCTGGAATGAATGACTGTTTCTATAGAGTTCTCGATAAAGGCTGACCTCTGTGGCTCTCTATTGTAGGCACCTGGAGGCCTCGCAGGTCCATTATTTTTGGAAGCTGGGGAGCTGAGGAGTTTGGCCTTATTGGGTCTGCAGAATACACAGAGGTGATTTGCAATTTATCCACAAGACTACCCACAACTCCAAGCAATGTGTAAAATGGCCATCTGTGTTAAAGATATAAAGTGCACATTCTTCTACACTTGACCTCGTTCTTGTTTCTGCTCCAGCAATACTTTGCAGCACTCAGTGAACGAAGTGTTGCTTATATAAACGTGGACATTGCAGTATTTGGTAAGAAGCTCCACACTGCACCTGTACATCAGAAGTAAATTTAAATGTATTCCAATCAGCCAGTACGACACAAACAGCTAACAGGAAAAAAAAATGCTCCTGGAGTTTTTGAAGAAATGTTAAAAATATAAACCTAAATCTGATTCTTTTGCACATAGTCTGCATGAAATGAAACGCTGTGTTAACACACCTAAGATGAATTTATAGGTTTAATAGTGATGCTCTTGCAAAACAATTGTTGTCTTGCATTATTCAGCTAATGCTACTCTCGGAGCTTCAGGCATGCCATCAATGCAGAATGTCATCTTTAAAGCTGCAAAACAGGTGAGCCCTTTGACTAACTACTATCTAGACAAAACCAAGACTTTTACTGCTCAGAAGTGTGGTTTTTAGCTAATCTGGATCAATTAAGAATCAATGAGCTTATATGATAGTGAGGCGCCAATACCGTTATTCACAAGAATCGTTACCGTTTCCTCATTTTGGTTAGATTTTAGTGAAACTTGAACCCAATAAGCATCTGATAGGTCTTCGTACTTGTAGGTATTGGTCCTATTTACAGGCACTTATCCATTTTTACAAAAATCTCTACTTTACGTTGCAATAGTCTGTCAATCAAGATGGATTATTTATCATATGAATTACTGCAACACTGACCTTTGTTTTCTAGGTTAAAGCACCTGGCCACGAAAAATCTGTGTATGACAACTGGTTACAGTACACAAACAAAACCAGCCCCACCCATGGATTAATTCCCAGGTAATAAACTGCAGCCATATCTTGTTAATCTTGCATTGAATCTTGGAAGAACAGTTGTCTGGGATTCTATTCAAAATCACTTGTCTCTATTTGAAAGTTTAAAAAAAAACCCCAACAACAACTAGATATTATATTGACATCATAGATGTTATTCCGCATGTTTCAGATATAAACATATTAGTTTTTTAATAAATTACCAGTGGCCACAGTAGTGTTAGCTGGTTCATTGTTAGAATGTAAATGACTTGTAAAACACAATCTGAGCTTAAAATGCTCCTCAAACAAAAGAGCCTAATCAGAAGCAATTAAGATATGCAATTTGCATATGTTGTGTATTCACAATAATGTATGAGACACAGAATTCGATTTTTTGTTTAGTTTTATTGGTTCTATGTCTTCATAATCATTTAAATGATCTAACAGACAGTTGGTTTGGTTGGCCAAGTCCTACTTTCTTTGTGATATGTACTTTCACAGAATTTTGCAGTGTTATTTATTCATATTTAATTCTATCCTATGTCTCCCTGCTGAAATACCTCAGAATGTGATGTTGTCTGTCTTCTTTCAACAGGATGGGATATCTGACAGGAGCAGGAAGTGATTATGCTCCCTTCAGCCATTATCTAGGAATCACCTCCATGGACATGTCGTACACATATGACAAGGTACTAAAGATGTACGATTGCACGATTTGACACATAGACAGAATAATACTGCACAGTTTTGCTTTTAGAGCCTTTTTGTGCAGTCGCAGTAAATGTGCTTTAACTAGCGTGTACTGATTGTGTATTAAAAATAAGAATGATAGATACAGTTAAATGCTCTGGTCATTGAAGCCAGTTGTTCATTGTACATTTTAAACCAAAATAAGCTGCAAAAAGTGTTTTATTTTGGCATTCACATATATTAGGAGAAGGCAGGTGTTAACTGAGCTCATTAAGATAATATTGTAACTATTATTGTATATATATTTGTCTTCACACAGACTAAAACAAATGCTCGGATTTATCCTGCATATCACACAGCATATGACACTTTTGACTATGCTTCAAAGTACATCGATCCTGGTGAGAATTTTTTTCCCCCCCTAGTAGTCTACTTCTTGCACAGTAAGTAGAATAAATGAATCCTTGTCTAACTCCTTACCTGTCATAGTGCTATGACAGGAAAATATTTTGCCAGCAATGGAAGAAAAAGAAAAAGCGTTGCACTTCTCAAGAAAATATTTTCTAAGTTGTGGTTTTTCTGTTTTCAGATTTGATCACTGAAAATAAATAATTAGCTGAAAAGAATCAAATTATTCCTTTATAACATTAGCTCATACCTTCTCTTGTAGGCTTTGTCGGTCATCAAGCTGTAGCTAGGACTGCAGGAAATGTCCTGATCCGACTGGCTGATAGTTTGATCCTGCCATTAAACTGCGCTGACTATGCTGAAAGTCTGGAGGAATACCTCAGCACTGCTTTGAACCTATATGAGCAGAAACTTAAAACTATGAACATTTCAATGGGTAAGTACAGGAGATCTTTTGAGAGATGTGGGGGGAGGGGATCTTTTTGGAGCTAGGTAACACATCTTATACTTTAATGATACCCTCTGAAAGTGTCTTGTGCATCTATGTTTTGTCTTGTATATCTATGTTCTACCCCAATAATCAAGTGTAATTAGAGAGAATAAAAGAATACAATCATCACTGGGTGACAGCAATCAACTGTATCTCGTTTCAGAACCCCTTAAACATGCAGTGACCAGCTTTCGTGCTGCAGTTTCTAATTTGGAGAAGGTGATTCAAAGTCCAGACCTGGCAAATGAAACGTAGGTGCACACATTACATACAGTATGTGCACAGTCATATCCACATCCATTCAAACAGAAATGAATACCAGCCCCCTTTGCTTTACCATGTCTTTTTCCTCAGGCCGCTTAAGGTTAGATGGATCAATGACCAACTCATGCTTCTGGATCGAGCTTTCTTGGACCCTCTGGCTTTCCCAGATAAATATGGATTTAGGTAAGAATGTGGCCCAGTGGATTGCACAGAGATTTCTGTGGCTTTGGAAAATAATAAAATTATAGTGCCTAGTGGAGTCTTCTGTGTCATGCAGGACACAGTACACAATGAGAGAAGAAGGATTGTGGGGGTTAGTGAAGTCCCACTGTTAATAAAACATGTTAATCAAGACATGATTACAATGGTTATGCCTACTATCTTAAATAGGACCAGGATAAGGCCTCAGGCCTTAAGTAACTTTTTAACCCCCACAAACAGCAAAAGTCTATGGAGCCACTGGAGCTGGCATAGTTGTTAATACCTATAGTGAAAGAAGTAACAGTGATACACAAACATGGAATGCAGTAGTACGGCATTTCTGGGGCAAGGAGCCATTGGGAGAAGCTAGTGAACAATATGCAGAAGGTAAACACATGGAATTAAGACAATGTGTTTTAACAATACTAGTGATTTGAATATGGCAGTGCCAGTAGGTTAAATCTTGGCCGGCCGCTGTTACGCTCTGTTGATTGTTACATTTAGTAGTCTTTTGACAAGAGATACCAAGTGTAGTGAATTGTTTGTTTCATTGTAACTCAGAAACACATTTAATAACACTGTTGAGCTAATCTTTATTTTGTTGTGTGTTACACAGGCATGTTATCTGGGCCTCAAGCAGTGCTGGCAAACAAACCTTCCCAGGTCTAGCTGATGCCTATGCTAATGCTGAGTCATCAGGGCAGGCCAGCGACTGGGACAAAGTTCACTACCACCTGTCAGTATTAAGCCAAGCCATACTGGGTGCCGCCAGCACACTGACTGATGACATGCAGACTCAAACTTAGAGGAAGTAACTGCACTAACTCAGGAATTTAATCAAAATGCCAATGGCTTTGAGCAAGATTAAGTATACCAGCTGTTGTTAATAGAGGTTGGTTTTGTTTTTGATTACTTTATGCAGTCTTTCAGAAATGAATGAATAAAAATGGAGGAAAGAAAACTTGAAAGGCAAATGTGTTTGGGGCACTAGTCACCATGAGGCAGGAACATCTTATCAAAGGAGATTAGACCACAGTTTTAATTTTTCTCTTTTGGTTACAAATGCAAAGATGGTTTTGGTTTCTTTGGTAGAAAACTAGGTTTTGTATCCTATAAATGTATGATAGAAATATTGTCTTTATTTTTCAAAAGAAAGCTTTGAGTCTTGAGCATATGGTGCCACTTTCCTCCCACACATTTGTCAGTAATATTTTCACAACAGTAACAGCTGAACATATGTAATGAGAATGTGCCAAGACTTTATTATTTGTTAAGCGCCCCACAAAGTTGTACCCCTGAACTTCTCAACTGTCTCATAATTAGGAAAAACAAACATACAGAATGCTGTATTGTAAACTGGATTTAAGGCCCATAAAGGAATGGTTAAAAAACTTCCATTGATGCTATTGGATGGTGTAATGGCACATGGAGCAATAAAATTTTACTCGGAAATACTGGTGCAAAGGTTTGTGTGATGAGTCCCTATCAGCAACATAAGAATTATAAAGGATTTTATGGCAATCGGCATAAAATAAAAGATGATGATCTGAGTTTTAAAGAGGTTACATCATTTGTATGCAAGGTACAGCTGGAAAAGAAATTCTGAAGTTATCTATACGTGGTTTAGTTTGAATCGTACTGACAAGCTACAAGTCAATGAAAACCTGAGCACTTCATAGGCCTCCTGCCAGTGCCTATGGTGGAGCTGCAGTACTGACTCCTACCAGCAGGGGTCAAAAATACTTTGACACAAGTGTTGCAAACCCAGTGAAACAGGCTGAAGAGGTACTTTCACACGTTCTCCTTCAGGGATTCTTCCAGGAATTCATTCACAATGCAAAACTGAAACTGCAAATGTATTAAACAAGAAAGAAAATCAAAGAAGTCTCTTTGAAAAAAATTTAGCCAAATTATAAAATCTGGTTAAAATTCAAACAGTGTTATTCACCCTCATTTAATCCATCCAATATGCTTTGTTGTAAGTTACACGGAGGTAAATCTAATTTGTCTGCTTTGTGATGTTTAAAGATGCATTCAAACCGATGTGGAAAAGAGGCAAGCTGCTTTTGAATCCCCCACATTAATTTTAATGTATTTATTGACACCGTAAGGAAGGATTAAAATCTATGGAGATCTACCTTTGGCAGCCCATACCTTGGGAGAGGTAATGGGCAGTAGCAGTAGCACAAATAAACTCTTTAGGTGCAGACACTCAGTGTTTTCCTGAATAAGGTGTAGGATCACTGCATACTTTTTTCTCCTCTCCAAAATCTTCCCACACTATAACCAGTGTATTTCAGGAATGACTGCTTGTATTGTTGGTGTGATATATATAGAGATTCTTCAGTATTTTTACCAGGGGAATACTTACAAGCCATGGATTTTTTTTTTTCCTTCAGTAGTGCTGTGTGAATAGCATTCACAGAGTTTGACATTCATATTTGCAGAGTTGCCCAGAACAGCAAAGGCAGTCTGTTTTTAGCCACTCAGCACATTACAGCTTGAAGAATTCTCTCATGCAGGATAGTAAACACTTTGCAAGCGTTGGATTCAGATGGATGAAATAACTATGCTCAGGCTTTGTTTTGCAACCTCTACTCAACTGTTTCCCCGTATACTATATAGTATACGGGCATTCCCGGACATTTTTTTTGCTCAGAGAAATGCTCTTTTTCAGACCGCTCTTCATAAACCCTAGAGAGGGATCTGCCGGAAAGTTGAATACTTTCTGCAATGCCAGTTGAGAGTAAATATTGAACACCTGACATGCAGTGATAAATCCGACAGTATTATCTATGAGTGCAACCCCTTATTTAAACATCCCATTTGCATTGTGACTGATGAGGAAAACTACTTTTGATATAGTCTAAGGAGCTTGGAAAGAAAAGCGTCTGGACTTATTTAGTCCCTTTGAACCCTAGAACTGAAGAAGCTTCTCGGATGAGAGGTGAAACGTCTTCAAGCAACCTAAAGAAGTCCAGACGCTTTTCTTTCCAAGCTCAGACTACGATGACCTGGATGACTGAGAACCTTCACAGATACTTTTGATATAGACTATAGTTACATCCCGACCTTTAACCATTTCACATGGCAAAGTCAGTATGAGTGTGAACATCAGCCATAATGTTATAAAAACGAAGTGTCTTCGCAATGCCATTCAAACAAGGAGACGACGCTGGGGCTTTACTTGCCAGTCGCAGAGTTTATTATTTTAAATATACATAGACTATCCCGTTCTCATATTAAATACCCCACAACCCGTCCTCCCTCATTATTCCTCCCCTCCCTCACCCTCATTTCTCTGCTTTCTTTGTTCTGCCTCCAGAGAGAAAGCTTGTCTGGCTGAAAAACACACTACTTTGTGCAGCATATTGCTTATTAAGACATTTGCGAAAACATAAATTAAAAAAAAAAGAAAAACAAAACTACAGCTTGTCTTCCCCCCCCAATTTCTGCTCCAACATCTGACTGCAGAGAACAGTATCTAAACAGGAGGAAATTTTAAAAAAAAAGAAAGAAAAGAAAACAGCAGTGTCCCTCAGTCTGGCTACATACAATGAAGTGGATTCCCAAGTTTTAGTTTTTTCATTGTTTTTTTTTGTTTGTTTTTTTTAAACTCTCATGTATACACAGTGGTCTGTACCGTGACAGATAGACAAAAACAAAACAAAAAAAAGAGAATTCCTTTCTTCAACAAATGTCCTGAGTTTGGTCAGATCATGTCGCCGTGTTGTTGTCATGTCGTGTTGTACATGAGACATCCAATCAAAGTGGCCGATTCAATTTCAGCCCTTGCTTTCACTAGTGTTTGTGTCTCTGTTCATCTCCTCTCTGCTCCTCAGAAGGTAAATAACCCTCACGATCAGGGGATGGGACTGTTGTTTACGGCTTTTTTTTCTTCCTTTTTTTAAATTGCTGTTACAATTATTGGTCCAATGAGGCAGTTGGAGCTGCAGGCAGAGTGAAGGACAGTGTGATACGGCACTAGAGGAAAATTCAGGTGTTTAAGTCACAAGGCATGCATGTTAACACTGAACTCAGAGTCACCACCAGAAGTGTTTCTGCTGTTATGCTTGTATCATGTCCCGGGCATGAGTCTTGTCAGTCTGTTTTGGTGTGTGTTTGTGTGTCTGCGTCAGTGTTTGTGCATTTTTTTTTTTTTTACTTTTTTCTTTTAAACAGATTAAGGTCCTGGAAAAGTCCTGCTTTTAATACCATCCATGCTAGACTGCCCTGACACCAAGATTTCATCTTTTCAGCAACTGAGGGTGCAAAGAAACCCATGCTTGTTCCTGTGACATTTTCGATCTGCATGTGGGCTCTCAGTGGAGAATAAATGCATAAAAAGCAGGTCTTTTCCAAATACCAACACTGTGACATATGTGCACATGTGTTTTCTGTGCTTCTGGTATTTCTCATGAGTTTTTTCAAAATTTTATATCCAATATTCTAGAAGTCCCTTTCCCCTCTCCTCTTTAGGAAGCACACGAGGGACTGCGTTGGCATTACGGAACGTCAAAAGGTCAAGCTGGGATCACACACGGGGGGAGTATTTGGGGTTTCTTGGCACCTCGGTGAAAGATTTCAGCTCATATGGGATCCCCGTGTCCACTTCGATGGATTTGCGGGAGAATAGCAGCCGGATATCGTTGTGCAAGTATATCTTTCCAGATTTGGAGCTCTGGAATCTAAGAAAAATCAGACCAAAAACAGAGGTTGGCAAAACAAATACATTCCACTTGAGCCAAGAATATGACTAAAAGCACAAAAAAGGTTGCAAAACTTTTAAATATTCAATGAAAAATTTATATAACTCAAAGTTTTATTAATGTTTTAGTATATAGACGTTTCAACTAAGCTTTTAAAGTCACATGATAATGGAGCATTTTAGCCTTTTCTGGCATAAAAAGTAAAAAAACAAAGCAAAACACTTATAAAACCTTAGTTGTACCTGAGATGTATAAGGTAGCAGAGAATCTTCTTCCTATCTAGCATTCCACTTCCTGGAGACGCCTCGCCTTTTCCCTCAGCTCCCTCCTCTACTGGCACCAAGAAGATGCGGTGTCGCAGGAACGTCATATGATTAACAGGCATGTCATTAAAGTTGTAGGTCACCAGGAACATCTTCACCACAGTTTTGTTGGGATTAAATAAGGTCTGAGGACACAACAGGAATAGATGAGATAGCTCAGCATGATTTAAATTCAATGGCTTAGCTATAATAATTACAGATATGTGACCCTTAAAAGTATAAACATGACAGCATCAAAATGTCATATATATATGTTAAGATGTAAAGAATGACATAAAATTACCACTTGAATGGTCCCTGCTTTGGGTATGCTGTATCCTTTCTTTCCAAGAGGTTCGAGGGATATTACCCCCTGTGAGAAAAAGGAGACACAGAATACATATCCTCAGTCACTGCAATGATGAAATAATCTGTAACATTTTAATACTTAAAACCTACATGAAGACTATGTGCCATGAAATAAAACATAGGGGGCAGCAGTATGACAGCAGTAGTTTTCCATTTCTGTTCCAAAACACAGATGAAATCTGCATATCTGTATTGATAACACATGTAAAACAAAAAAAAAGAAGGAAATTCAGAAATGAAGTTGATGAACTCTAAAACTACTGCAGCAGAGTGCAGTTGTAAAGGCAGCTGCATGGAAAGTCAAATTAAGAGTTCAAAGAAGTGAATCAAAGGAGGCCTGACCTTCACTATACACCGCAGATCAAAGTAGAAATGAGGAATTAATCTAAAAGTGAAACAGCTGCTTTTCCATTTTTCCAGCAGGAT